AACAAGAGGTGTATCATGCAAATGAGAACCCTTGGGAGACTGTGAGCTTTAGCTCCCTCTTAGACACAAAGCGAGCCAGTCACTCTCTCTGAACCCTAGGAAAGAGGCAATACCAAGCCACTTCCCAAAAACCTCACCAATAAAACTACCGTCCAGGTATCAACAGACTTGTTGCCAGGGTGCTTCCAGGTGTGACGCTTGAAGGCATACCAAAAAAAAAAAAAAAAATCCTCCAAAACTCAACCCAAAAAACCCAATTTTCAAAGCAATATCATTTATTTATAACTTATTTCGTTACTAATAAATTGTTTCTGGCTTTAATGTTTTATATTGGTGTTTTTTTTAATTAACTGTAAGCCTCTCAGAGTCACCTTGTTGAGATGGAAGGCGTATTAGTTCAATAAATAAATAAACGAAATTTCTCAAGAGCAGCCTCACAGGTTGGTATTAATAGAAATATTAGATCATCTTGAAGGGTACCTATTATATTTAACGGTTGATTAATCCAATTCAAGATCAAATACCGTACAGACCTGGCCCCTATTCAGTGCTTATCGAGAGGCTGATCTATTTGGGCAGCAGTGGGAGAGACGATGGGAGGAAGCCACACGGAACCGCGGCAGTTCCTACCACGCACTTTTTACCGGCTTTATAAAACTAGATCAGAAACGGCCAATCCGTCCGTAATCTTCAGGATCGTGTTTAAGAACAAAATAAGCCGGTTCTACCGTGGCTTTATATTCCCGGTCCCCAAACTTTCCCCCACCCCTAACCTGGATAGGTGGCTCAGGGGCTAAGACGCTTAGCCTGTCGATCAGAAAGGGCGGCAGTTCGAATCTCCTAGTACAGGTCTCCTGCGTGAGCAGGGGGTTGGACTAAATTGACCTCCCAGGTCCCTTCCAACTCTGTTACTGTTAAAGTTACATTTATTTACGCAGCAGCATTCCAGCATCCAACCCTCAAGAGCCAGCTAAAGCAGAAGAGACCGGCGACTATTCCCCTTCACTTGTATGGCGTAGAGCGAATACGATACCCGTTGCACCCAAAGGTTCCCAACACAATCCCCATCCAGCCACACAGACAGCAATCGCGAGTCAAGCGCGATGGGAATTGGAGTCCAAAACATATGGGCAGCAGGTAGGACGACGACGACGAGAGAGAAAAGATCCCCGGCAGCTGAACTGCTGACACCGCCGCTCGGTACTTGGAAAGGGATGCCCGGCTGCCTCGGAAGGAGCCCTGGGAATACGCACCGTGCCCACGGGACCTTCTTTTCACCCACCAGCCCCTACCTCTTTGCGACCCCTCTTCCAGCAGGAGCCGGACCCTCGAGCCGCCCCGAACGCGCTCTTGACCAATCAGGAAACCCCGCGTCAACCCCTCCCCCTCCCCCACTCCACGCTCAGAGTTCTCAGGCAAGAGCCCCGCCCATTCAAAGGAAGCCGCCCCTCCCAACGTGGCTGCCCTTTAAGAGGGGACATAGAGATAACAAATTTAGAGGCGCTCATCAGCTCGCAAGATACTACGCTTCCGGGGCCGTTAAATGCCACTCGGCCCTATCCAGGTTCTATCTCGGACTGACTCCAAAGGTCAGGAAAAAGCGTTCATTGCTTTCTATTTAACCCCTCTTCGCTTTCAGTCACAGTATATTTGCATGTACATATGTTTAGCAAGTTTCTTTCTCATCTAATAATGGCTTTGTCAGCTTTCATTACCCCGTAGGAAGTTATCATCCAGCCCTCTCCCAGAAAAAAATGAAATATCCTAGGAAATATTGAAAAGGCAGTATATTTCTCTGGATGTGAAAAGGAAGAAAC